TGTTCAAATATATTTACCATTTTAAAGGTTAGAAAATAATATTAACAAAATGAAATAAATAAAATTATCAGCATGATTAAAAAAATACCAACAAAAATATTCTTTGTGTGAAATATGTAATGAAATGCCCTTTGAGGTCTGTATCATCTGACAGCAACCCACGATTGTAATTTTCATATAGTTTAAATTCCTCTTATTTAAGTGATCATACATGATCATTTGATGGTGTAAATGCATATGGTAACAATGAGAAATTTGATGGCCATGGTTGCCAACCTTGATTACCTGGTTGAAGTGAAACTTTCTTGACTGCTGAATATATCACACACGTATACTAGTAGGCTATTCTCTTTATATTGTAATAGCACAACCTATTCAGAGCCTAACATGCAAACGAATCATCAAGAATAAACAAATATTCTCCTAAAACATTGGACAAAATATTTTAAGTAGTCACATACAGTGGGCGTACTTTGATGTACAATTACACCTGAATAGACTGATCTCTTGTGAACCTAAAAGCTTCTGTTGACAAAGTAATCGCAGCAGAAGGTAAATACAGATAAAATTAAAAAACAAACATAACTTAATATTACTAAAATTAAATAGAAAGCTGCGCTTACAGACGCTCACATCCACACGTGTAAACACAACTCTGACGTCTTCACTTCCAGGTCAAGAAGCTGTCAATCAAAAGCTCAGTAGCCAATGAGAATACACTTCTACTAGCCCCGCCCCCACGAGAGATTTGTGTCAGAACAGCGAACGCAAACTCAGGGAGTGTAAACGAAAACTTCAGAAGCGTAAATGAAAACTCTGGAAGCGCATTTGTAAGTGTAGATCAGTAAACGAAATATGAGGAATAGTTAGCAAAACATGTAGTCTATTAAAAACAAAGTCAAAAAAATTGCTTGCGGTTCATTCTTTTTCAGTTTCAAAGATATTTTATTCAGTTTCAATTTATATTTTCATTCGTTTCTTGAAAAGTTACGTTCATTTTTATTGGCTCAAAATTAATTCCATACTAAACGACAACAGTTATAGTAAAATAACCGGTTATACATTTGATTTAGTCATTTATACACTTTATTTTACTCTAAATATTAGGCCTACGTATTTTAGTTTATTTGTGTGTGTGTGTTTGCAAATAGTAGCCTACACCAAAAGTTTGGCTACAATTCGTTTTGGTATAGTGCCTATATGGATTTCTTAATACATAACGAAAATGTTTTTCTTTTTTTTAATGGAGGCGTTAGACCAAATAGTGAAAGAAAAATCCAAAACAGCTATTCATTAAATTGTTTTCGCTAACTGAAATAAAACAAACATTAGATGAAAAACTTAAACTTAAATAACTTAAGTAAAATAAGTTACTAATGCTCTCAAATAAAATAAATCTTTTAAAATAAATCAGCTAAATGAATAAATGTACAATTATAAACTAAATCAATAATATAGCCTAAATAAAATCAGCTAAACGAATAAAAGTAAAATAATAAAATAAATAAATAAATCAGCCTAATGAATAAATGTAAATCTAAATAGAAATTGGGAAAACATAAATCTATAAAAAGGACAAAAGTACATAAACCTTACTAAAAGCTCAATTAAAATGATATCTGGCAATATAAATAAACAATCAAAACAACAAATTCAAAGAGCATCCTAGAAGTTAGTTGGAGAATTAATATAAGATGGTTTTGATTGATGTATTGTGAAAATAAAATGAAGTCAAACTTGCATCTAGTGTCATAGTTTGATGATTTTACGGTTATTCTAAAATGTGGAGAATAGTCATAATAAATATTGTTTTTTTTGTTTTTTTTTACAGATAATTGATAAAAAATGATGATGGCCAGTAATTACTTGCTACGCATATCGCAACTTTTTACTAACACAAAGTTCAAAGCACAAGTTTATGCAGACCACCGGTCCACAGCTGTGGTCAGAGATGTGCAATGATTCAGACTGAAACTGAGGTTAGATACGGTAATTTACTTTGCAGTAATCTTATTAAGCATCTGTTCAATGAGTCACAGGTCTCAGGAAATATTAATGAAAACATCCAAATGCAATACGATGAATAAATTCACAATTGTATTTATTTTTAATTATTAAAATGAATAATTCTGTCTGATTTTAAGGATATAACTTTATGTTAATCCACATGATGTGCAGCATAAAATCTGGGTCCTAAAACAAAGCATGAGAAACACTTCAAAAGTATTTAGAAAATGAAAAGTACTTCACAGTCAGATGTCAAAAAAATAGAGTTTAATGTTCATGTGCTGTATAACAAATTAAATATATTAGTGTTTACAAAACAATATGTGCATGACTACCGTATGCATATCCTAAAGTACTCTCTACTCAAAAGTGATGAGAACAAGTTCTACTGACAACACAGTTTCATCCCACAGTCCAAGATGCATAAGTCTATTATACAAAGCAAGTACAAAGATTAGAGAAAGATTGATCATTTCTGTGAGTGGTTAAAGACGGTAACAAGCGAGGAACAAAGGTAGGCGTCTAGATATGTCTTGCTATCTAGGTCATTGGTAACGATGTAATCAGTGAGGTCCAATCAGATTTTTTCCAAAGCAAATTTTGTTCCAGTGCTCTTAGAGAGCTTGATATTGCCAAGGCTTTAAGTCTCAGATTTTCATACAACTTCCCAAATCTCATTTTCCATTCCACCTAAAACGAACACCCAAAATAAACTACCACGTGCGAAGAATTGTGACGTGGAATGCTCTTAAACAAGGCAAAATGAGGATAAATATTCACTTAACACTTGTCTTTATCACACAGGACGTCTCCTAACCCACCGACTTTCAAAAATGGCACTTAAATTAAGATTTTGCATACTCGAGATCTCATAAGTCTCCGAAAGTAACCCTAAAAAAATAAAAGCACACACAATATTTCCACATATTCCCTTAAAATACTGAAGTGTATGATCAGGACGTTAAAAATCGGTCTCTTTGCACCGACAGAGAGGTATTTGTCATCGACACAAATACAGATTACAAAACAGCTTGACCGGTGTATTACAGACATGTAGTTGCGGAAAACCTGATTATCTTGTGCCTACTTCACCTCACGTGATACCCTAGATCTACATAAAAGTGCGACTCGAAGCCGAACCGATGATTTCACAGGTACAAGTCCTACAAAAACACGTATCACCATTGAGAAACACGAGAAATGTTGCGCGGTAGGATGCAAATTCGAGAATCAAACACTAGTGCATATCAGTTTCACATACATCTGCACGTTAGCTGAATCTAAGACTGTCTACACTACGAAACAGAGTACAAATACTGTACAGTGAATGTCCTCTGAGGTTGGGACACCTAGACACGTTCACTGAGTTAAGTGACAACAGCTACCCGGTATTGCTCTACGACTAAATATTCAGAAATACAAATACATTACGTGATTATGATAAAGACTGGAATTGTGCAGCATTGACGCCCTGTTTTCAAGTCCCAGTCAGTTGTGAATGTTTTTCAACTATTTACATGACGTTCAAGAGGGGAGACATGCTTGTCTATGTTAGAATTTTGTCGGTATGTATAGAGTACGATGAAATATATTATGCTTATATTGTGCTTAATATCGGAATAAATCAGGCATTACTATTCGTTCAAGAAAGACAAACGGCTGGCTCCGAGATTTCAGTGTTTAAATAGCAATGTGTACCTCAGTTTTCCTGTGTTGCGCAAGTAAATTCAACCGTAGCACCATAGTTGAGACTTTTAAACTCAGATTCGCTAGCATTGTCAACTCCCTTAAAGACCCCATGAGATCAAAATTAGAGTTTTCATACGTATTAGCTCTGAGGTCATCGTATGCTAGTGTACTGATGAACGCTGACAAAATTCAATTTAACGCATTAAAAAGGCGCTTCTCCTCTGGGATAAACATCCAAAAACATTGATTAGGACTGCACGATATTAGAAAAAAACAATATTTCAATATTAAATTGAAAATCACAATTTTTAATATAATTAAAAAAATGGAAATTTACAAGTGTAAAAATATTTAGATCTTAATTTCTTAATTTTTTTTTTACGTTAAGACTTTTATTTTGGCAGTTTGCTGCCAAATTAGTATTTAACGAGGCTCGTTTTACACTGCGGACTATTGCATTGTCATATTACAATATCAACTTTATTTCGATATATCGTCAGAGAATGTCTACTTGAAGAGAATTGGCACTGGCTGGTTACTTCCGTTTTCTGGACTGGCTGCAGTAACACGTCTCTGTCCATGCGGGGGCGCTCGTGGTCGAGTGCAGAATGAATGGGAGTCTATGGGGTTTCATACCCAGAAATCCACTTTTCTCAGGATGTAATTTTTTTGTCAAGTAATTTGAAAGTTGCATTCAAAAGGGAGGGCTAAGATAATACACTCCGGCCAACAACGGCCTAACCTGCAAGAAATCGAAAGGACATAAGTACTCGTTCATTCGATTTTTGGCCTATAATCTATATTGAACTTGTGGAATCAACAATAAAATCTATGTTGATTCAACGACAAGCAGGAGAAAGAGACACATTTAGCCGTTTCGCTCCATAGACTCCCATTCATTCTGCACTCGCTCGTGATCACCTCCAGTGGAATTCTAATGGAACTGCAACCAAGATGATACACAACAGGGCTAATAGGAAGTGCCAAGGCTCTCCGTTAGACGGGCTCTGATATCGTGCAGCCCTAATTTCGATTGGTCAGAGCTTTCTCCAATCAAATGCTCTCTAGAATGATATCATAACTCCAGCTTATAATACCACTTGTTGTCGACTAGCAATAGCAACTAGCAAATCACGGTTCAAAGCCTACTTGATATTTAAAAAAAGGAATGAACCCTTTAACGTGTCCAACCAACTTCCTGTTATAATAGGAAATAGTCAATACAGGAATTGAAAGCGAATGCACGGGGTCTTTAAAGAGAAACGCAATCCAGGAGGCTCACTTAAATAGGCGACAACAACAGCTGCGTATTGACAACTTTAAAAACACGGCGTCCCTCCGTTTCAGTGAAATTATACATGCATTCATATATACATACATACATACAACACATACTGTATTTAAATAACATTTAACCATTTTCAAACAGACATTTTCTATGTATGTACAAATAGCGGACTTGGTGCGCACCGATAGGATAGCAATAACAGGTGATTAGAGCTAGTGAGAATTGAACGAGTACAGTCAGTGACAGCACAAACAGTGTGAATCTACTCAAGAGAATGGAAATAAGGACTCTAGGTGCTTTGGCAAAACCAAAAATGACGAGAAACTAAAATAAATTCTATTTTTGAGGCAACGTCGGTTGTTAAGGCTCTACTGTAGTTGTGCTTGTTTAGTATTCACTGACAGACGACGTGTATTGTAGGTTTGGAACGAAAGCATTCAGGGCTGCTATCTGGAATCCTCTGGCTCTGATTTGATGGTCTTCTTCTCAGAGAGGTTGAGGGCACGTGAAGATGCGTCTCCGTTTTCTGGAAAAATCAAGAGAAACGTTCTGGATTACCTGAAAATTCATGATGCATAAATTGCTCGCAAGGTTCCTCATTTGCTAGTCACTTTGGATAAAAGTGTCTGCTAAATGAATTAAAGCATATATTAGCAAAGACAAATATAATATGGATCATTCCTGTTATCATATGAGATGATATTGGATAAAATGACACCATTTTAAAGATCACATCATATTAGTTAGCTTTTCACAATTAACATAGGACATAAAAACTGAAATTAAATAATATTAACAATTTGGTTTGATATTTTTGCTATATATGTCCCCATGTGCTTCCAAAATGGAAAAAACAATTTATTAAAAATAAAATAAATTATTAAGATAATAACAATAATAATTTTATTATATATTTTTACCATGTCCCGAAGTGCTTCTAGAATTTGAAAAACTGTCAATTTAGTGCTTTTAAAATGTAAAAATGTATTATGAAAATAAAATAATAATATTGCGGGTGTTTCTTCACATTTGACTTTCTCTAATCGAAATGTCTCTAATCGAAATGTTTTAAATGAATGACATTACAAAATTAAAAAACAAAAAAACTTTCTCCTCGAGTACTTTTGCTCTTTATTTCCATCTTATGTTCAATTTAGTTCATTTTCTAGTCACTTTGTAAATATTCAAATTATAATGAACAGTTGAAAGGGATAGTTCACCCAAAAATGAATTGCTCGCCCTCATTTCAGTAAGTAATTACTCAGTAAGTAATTGTCAGTAATTACTCACCCTCAATTACCCACACTGTAAGACTTTTGTTCATCGTAGGAACACAAATTAAGATATTTTTTATGGAGTCTCACTCCTCCATAGGCTTCTAGGTAATTTCATTCTGCCGGCCCAGAAAAGTTAGTAAAAACATTGTTAAAATAGCTCAAGTGACTACAGTGGCTAAAACTTAAGTTTCAAGCGACGAGAATACGTTTTGTGTGAAAAAAACACACAAAAATAATGCCTTTACTCAACTATTCATTTTCTTCCGAGTGGGCCTCTAAGTGAGTTCATGAGAGCGCCACGACCAGTGTTGGGAAAAATCAATTTCAATTTCAAAAACAATTTCAAATAGTTGAAAATTCAGTTCACACATTTAAAAATAAACTAGTTCAGTTTATAGTTCAAAAAATGAACTAGTTCATAGCGAGCTTTTTTTTTTATTAGGCTATTATTGCCACAGCCCATATACAACCACAGACAACAATTATTTTATCGACGGGCAAAGTTTGCACAGAAATGTAAGATTTTTCCCCATCCTCACCGACCTCGCCATAAAATCCGTTTAAATGATTATACGCCTCCTCGCTCATTGCTTTGTCGATGGTGGCCGCGGTGCGATACTGGTTGCTGGTGTTGCCAGATTGGGTGGTTTTTTTTTACATATTAAGGCCTGTTTACGTGTGTTTTAGCCGGGTTTTCGCCTGGAAGGCTCTATAGAAATCTGGCACCCTATTGAATGAAGTTAAACTGAGAGAGTGTGCGTTCACAGACACCAGAATGAATGCGTTCACACACTGTAAATTTTTTTTCAAAATTTGTTATCACAACATTTTTTCTTGTTTCTGATGATTAAAGGTGCCATCTGTAATAATTGAGGTTAAAATATCCAAAAAATGAACTACACGCATCAAAAGAATAAGAAGAAATAAGGTCGATGATGTCATAAAAAAATGACAAGTTATAGTGCTGCCGAGATATTAACCTGAATTAGCATGCTAAATTACTAGCCCTGGCCCGGCAGGTGTCGTAATACCAGTTTGGGCCATGGGAGGCGGTATCGAGCGGGCAACATATACCACCATCCGAACTGAAATACTTAAAAGCCTTTAATCTTCTCAAAAAACGACAGTGCGTCTTATAATCCGGAGCGCCTTATATATGGATCAATTAGTTAACAATGCTCCGCGTTATTAAATTCGCCCGCGAATTCGCGCTCGTGTCCATCTTATGCCCGCTTTGTCACACGGCCAGTTCAACCTCGTATAAATCAGGTTATGTGTGTCTCTCGCTCACGAGCGCTCACTCTTACAGACACACTGTCCCCGGCGCTGCTCGCGTGCCACAGAATGTTCATAAAGCGCTCCCCGTTCACAGTAACCAGGTCGTCTCATTCAAAACAGGCAGCCGTTGCTGTCAGCGAGCCGCCGCACAATAGCCGCGTTTCCACTGCCGGGCCAGGGCCGGGCCGTGCTAGTGCGTGCCAGGGCCAGTCGCGTTTCCACTGTCACTTCCGGGGCTTGATCGGGGCTTCCTCAGGGCCAACGGGCAGGATTTCTGGCCCGTCGAATACCTTGGGCCAGAGGGGGCCAGCTCGGGCTAGAGGCGTGCTCAAGGTAAAAGGCGGAGTTTATCGGTGTTATGGAACGTTATGATCTGCAGCAAGATGCACAGGGGTGTCCATGTTTAACCGATTAACCGTTTAAAATTGCATAACATTTTAATTTGAACTGTAGGCCTATGCCATATGCTGCGCAACAATATATAGGCTATATATAGCTACATATCGACGAATTTTCAGATATTTGTTTGATTTTTTTGCCCCTTAAACATTTAAAATATTTGACAAATTAATATGAAAAAAATATATATTTTATTGGTTTTCTGAGGCCAAATTAGAACCTGGAAATGATATTTTCCCCGCAGTGCTGAATGAGAAGAGCCGTAACCACAGCCTACAGAAAGGGGATTTATGGGTGATTTATAGGCTATAATAAATGTGTCTGATAATAAAATAATATAAAATAACGAGGCATTAATTGTTTATTAATAAACTATTGTTTTCTAAATGATTTTCGGCTAAAAACATATCTCCATCTCCGGATGCACATTTAGAGAGAAATTAAGCTACATAAACATAGAAGATGGCTTTCGATTCGAATTTGTTCGTTTTAAATTGGACATTTAAAGCTTTAATCTACAAAGGATATAACCCCTGTAGACTAAAGCTTTAAATGTCCAATTTAAAACGAACAAATTCGAATGCGGTGGCTGTTTCAGGTCTCGCGCTTCAGTTCACGGAGATCATGAAGCGCGCCTTGATTAATTTTTAAAGCACAACGTTTTCTTGTTATAAATAAATTTATTTGCGAATAATGTATTATTATTTTCTGTATGACCAGAAATTAAAGAGTATTTTAAGTTGTTTCCACTGAAAGAAATGCAATGAAACTGTTCACATGGGCGTCTCGCAGCCATCAGTGCGTGCTCCACACACACTGGATATGCGCTGATATTTGTCAAAAATATTGTGTTTATTTGTGCTCTGTTCCTTTTTTGGATAAAGGCGTCTTCTACATATGCAGCCTAATAAAATGTTACAATAATGATGATGATGGTTATTATTATTATTATTATTTGCAGACACGGAGTTTTTGTGAAATGGACGTTTTGCTTATTTTCAATTGGCAATTTCAGTTTGAAGGGTGATGGAAATGGGGCTTTAACTGCTCCGTACTTGCTGCGTTTTATTTCTATAAATTAATTTCGTTTCAAATGGGGTCCAATCAGTTATTAAAGGTGTTAAAAAATCTGTATCTCGAGGTTGCGGCGCGCACACTATGCACCGAGTATTAACCGATGGGCCTCGGTTAACGATTAATGAATAACTTGAAAACGTGCCCGCAGCCCTACTTGTTATATCGCGCAAAAAATCGCTGCTTGAAATGGAGAATCGCCTGTACTGGTCTCGGGACACTATTGCAGCCACTACGGCAGTTGAGTTAATATACATGCTATCTTCCTAATTTAAAAAATAAATTAATTCATAATACCCGCTGAAATGGGTTGGGTTTTATGACGTTTGATCCTGAAAGGCGTGTTAGGGGTGGGGTCTGGGGCAGCGCTGTGGGGCTACTGGCCCGGCAGTGGAAACGCAAGCCCGGTGCTTGAGGCCCGAGGCCACTAGCTCAGCCCGGCTGGCTGTTAGCTCTGGCCCAGCCCTAAGCTGGCAGTGGAAACGCGGCTATTGAATACTCATATGAGTCAGGCTGCGAATGTAATGGCAGCTCTGAATGGCGCTAGCTTGGTCAACATCAGCGAATGCTGAGCTCTCTGTCAAATTAATTCAAATTAACAATAAAAATGTAATGAACAAAACGAATACCGTAAAACTACAAATAATAGCCTGGGCTTTTATTTTCCCATATTGTCGAAATGCACCGGCTTATATTTTATACAGTCGTCTATGAGACGGCCTTTATAATTTAGTGTTGAGATGTTTTTCATTGAGTCTCTAATCTCTAAAAATCTCCAAATGCTCCACATGAAACTGCGGTCTTCCAACCTTTTACTATCGTGTCAAATGATTTGATTAATATGCACTAGGGAGAGAGAGCAAAACAGCGCTCGCTCGTGTTGTTTGAAGACGTGAGAGTGCACGCGAGCGCGGCCTCGGCACAACTCACTTTGTGGAGGTATACTGCCCCCATCTGGTATGGAATATGGAGTATGATTTGATTTTTTATGGTAGATGGCACCTTTAAATCAATCTCCATTGTATTAACTCATTTTTTCCAGTTCAATCAACTTAAAATTAAGGCAACCAGGTTACTTAATTTTTTAAGTTAAACCAACAATATTTTTTTTACAGTGCAGTAACGTTCATCAGGCATTAATACAGTACGTTCAGTTCACGTTCGCACAAACGCGTTCATTGTTCATTGAACGCGTTTGGCCGCGTTAAACACGTTCAAGCACAACGCATGCGCGAGAACTGAGATGATGACGGGTCTCGATGTAGTGTTTAAAATGGTTCTAAAGTGTGCATTTCCTGAATGTCCGAATCGCGAGAAACCAACGAGAAAACATAAAAGTGCCTTACCAATGCCACAAAATGAATGGCTTACCTTTCACACTTTGCCATGAAATGATCGTGATTCTCAGTTCTCGCGCATGCGTCGTGGCGCTCTCGTGAACTCACTCAGAGGCCCACTCGGAAGAAAATTAATAGTTGAATAAAGTCGTTATTTTTGTGTGTTTTTTTCTGCACAAAAAGTATTCTCGTCGCTTGATAAACTTAAGTTTTAGCCACTGTAGTCACTTGAACTATTTTAATTATGTTTTTACTAACTTTTTTTGGGGCCGGCAGAATGAAATTACCTAGAAGGAGTGAGACAGCTCTCAGATTTCATCAAAAATATCTTAATTACAGGGTCTGAACTATCCCTTTAAGTGTTACATCCTGATCAGTGCATTTTTCTGAAAGTCTGATGACCCTTTTATAGAAATTCTTCCTTATATTATAATTATAACTATAGCATATTCATATTTTAACAGTTACAGGTACAGCAAGACTGACCCAGGTAAGTCAGCCATGGAGTGCAAAAGTCCTAAGCGTGCAAGATAATGTTGTGCAATAAAAGCATGTACTGGAAGACAGAGTGAGTGTGGCTCTGTTTCAAACTGAGATTGCCTCCTCTGTGAAGGATGCATATGATGCTGACTTGACGCTTCTCAGGTGTCTTAGTCTTCATATGGCCTACAGTCGCATGCGTACGATGCCTCAAAATTGCCTATGTAAGCAGTTCATTAGGACTCTTCTCTATGCATTCAACACACACCTGTGGCGGTTGACATCTTGCTCTCTGCATTAGCGTGATGATGCCTCTTCAACTCGTTCGCCAGCTGCTTTCCGAGAGGCGTGTCTCCGTCTGATGCGCTCGGCCTCAGGTTGGTCACCCTTAGATTCAACGGTCTCTCTCCTGCAGAGACACAATAAAACAAACCATTCATTTTAACTCATGTTCACATCGCAACTGTATTCATGATCGGCGTTTAACAAAACGCAAGGCTGCATCATTATGTCAATTACCAAGTCCAAGCTAATGCTATGAGACAAGCATTCCGCCTACCAGAAACACTCAGCACAATACTCTCTCTCACGCCTGCGACTGAGCTTCATTTGATACAAATGCACCTTTTCTTCGACTACAGCCTGCCAACGCACACTCCGCAATAGCCCGAGGACAGCGACTGCGGCTTGAAGCGCGTTGATAGCGAGTTCCTTCGACACAGCACATTAACCTCCTCTGTCCCCGGCTGGATGATCTCATTTGTGTCTACTGACAGCATCATGACTAATGTCTGTCGTTTTTAACTTAAAGCTGCAGGTAATTAAAGGGCATTGTGTTAATTTGAACATTGAGGGGACACATCTCTTCCACCCACTCCTCAGAATACCTCATTTTAAACCATAGAAGGTAACGACTGTGGATAACGGGTTTGGACTAAACTCAAGGTGAATTTGAATTGGCCATGTCCCACAGGAAATTGCGTTGGAAATTGAATTCGAATGACTGGATGAGGAAATTGAAACTTGCAAATTAAAGAAATCGAACAGGCAATAATAAATTCTAAAATAATAAATAAAGAGTTCTTCCACACTGGTCCACAAAGTCTGTCTGTCTGTCTGTATGCCTATTTATCTATCTTCCATCCAATCATCAACATATCTTCCATCCATCCATCCATATATCTTCCATCCAAGCATCCATCCATCCTTCATTAATCCTTCCATCCATCCATCCTTCATTAATCCTTCCATCCATCCATCCATCCATCCATCCATCTTCCATCCAAGCATCCATCCATCCTTCATAATCCCTCCATCCATCTATCCTTCATTAATCCTTCCATCCATCCATCCATCCATCCTTGATTAATCCATCCATCAATATATCTTCCATCCAAGCATCCATCCATCCATCCATCCATCCATCCATCCATCCATATATCTTCCATCTAAGCATCCATCCATCCATATATCTTCCATCCAAGCATCCATCCATCCTTCATCCATCCATCCATCCTTTATTAATCCTTCCATCCATACATCCATCCATCCTTGATTAATCCATCCATCCATATATCTTCCATCCAAGCATCCATCCATCCATCCATCCATCCATCCATCCATATATCTTCAATCCAATCTTCCATTAAACAAGAATTATAAATCGTAATATTTCACAATAGTATTGTTTACTGTACTTTCAATTAAATAAATACAGCATTGGTGAGCATAAGAGACTTCTTTCAGAAACATTTAAAAATCTTACGCACACAACAGCACCGATTCATTTCAGTAAAGCCCTACCTGGGGAGAGTCGAGGCTAAGGAAGGACATACTGTATTTACGCCTCATCTAATTCTCACTTTCTACCTCTTTCTCTCTCACTCATTCTACTCTGCAGATCCCATACGCCCACTCTGGAGTTCAGAGAACACATGGGATATTAGGAAACTGAGAGGGATCATGTACTCAGAGAGTTCATGAAGGAGTTATTCTCAGAGATGGGGAGGGAGATAGCTCTGTTGTGCTCAGCGCAATGTAAACAACAACAAATAATTATCCTAAATAATGAGAAGAGTGTCATATTAATGCAAAGGAGAAATGAAAATTATTTTCCAAGGAGTCTATGATAGCTAAAGAAAGCTATCCATTAGCATCCCCTGGTAAATTAAATGTTTTGCCCCCTCAGATTTTTGAGTCAAATGAATCTGAACGCAGCAAAAAAAAAAAAAAAAAAAAAAAGTAATAATATATAATAACATAATAATAATTACTATATATATATATATATATATATATATATATATATATATATATATAAATATAAATATATATTAATTTATATTTTTTATTTATTTATTTTTCCTGGAAGCTGCATTCAGATCCATTTGCCTCAAAAATCTGAGGGGGCAAACATTTAATTTACCAGGGGATGCTAATGGATAGCTTATATATATGTAAGCAATAAGGTACGAGAGGCTGTATTGTATCATGAATAAGTAACGGCTGAAGGACGTTGTAAGGCACGACGCGAAGCTGAATAGATGCAGGACTTACAGGTCTAATAGGCTATTCTTAATATTCTGTAGTATCGGATATGATGACATTTCAGTAATTATAGTAAAATAGAGTGCATGATGATCCTGATATTTAATATACCTAAAACATTCAAAAATACATGTATGCATGTATGTGGATAAAATATATATTTATAAACATAGATATAAGTTTCGATACATATTATTTGTTATTATTCAATTAAATTATCCCTATAAAGCAGGGTGGCCAATATGAGTATCACCATTAAAAATCCATGGTGGTGGTTGCGTACTACTTTGCAATGCAAAAGCCCTTGTAAACATGCAAACATTTTGTACCTGTGCTGTGATGCAGATAATCAGTGCTCAGATTCTGTATATGTGCAGTAATTATCATCATGATCCAACACGAGGGTCAGACTGAACTCCAGAACGGGTGGCATTCTAAGGCACAAGATTAGCAGCAGAGCGCAGCGCTGTGTTCATATTTCCACCCAGCGTCCCCCTCCCCTCTCTGACACCCACCACCCCGCCTCCGCCTGCAGCTGCCAGATGAGCCCCAGAAATGAGAGTGCCAACAAGAAACAAAAAAAAAAGAGAGTCTGGAACAGGTGATGCAAGCTACTGAAGTATATGAGAAACAACAACTGAAACGCTTTACCGGTTTTCGATCCTGTCAAATGTGTACAAAAATAACGCGGATGGTCAATCAAGAGTAAAAGACAGTTTGTCTGCTTTTCTGATAACAAAAATAATAATAATAGCTGTTTTTGTGAAAATAAATTCCTTGGCTGTAAGTGTAAACTTATAAGTGTAGAAGTTATTATTATTATTGTATATATTTTCTGTTGTTACACTCTTTGCTTGAAATAAATAAATAAATAAATAAATAAAGACTTCTACATTCTCTTCTTCAACCAGTTCTCAACTGGTTTCGCTTTAGGACTCAGACACTCAGGAGTTTTCAAACATTTTGATGCAAAGGACCTCCAAATATGATACAATTTAAAATTACATGAAGGTGTATTGTCATACAAGACACTTGTATGAAAAAAAAAAAAAGTAGGACATTGTAAAGACAAGTAGTATAATTGTACTAAAAAGGATTCACTAAAATAATTGTCATTATTAGGGCTGTGAAACGATTAATCGCGATTAATCACATCCAAAATAACATTTTGTAATATACGTGTGTGAACTGTGTATAATTATTTTGTATATATAAATACACATACATGTATATATTTATGAAAAATGTGTTATTTATATATAAAATATTTATGTATAGTACAAATTATATATATATATATATATATATATATATATACAGTATAAGCAAATATTTCTTAAATATATACATGTGTGTGTGTGTATATATATATAAAATAATTATATGCAGTGCACCCACATATATTATGTAAACACAAACTTTTATTTTTGGAAGCGATTAATCACAATTAATCGTTTCAGAGCCCTAGTTATTATATAAATATTTTATAATAATAATATAATATTTTTATACTATAGAGAAATTATTATAATTATTATAAATACATTTGTTAGAACATTACATTTTAATTGACAGCATATGTGAGATTTTACACTAATCTTTTTTCTACACTAATTAATGCATTTCTTTTAAAATCTAGTGTTACTGATGCCAAGACATCTGACCAGTCTCTAGAAAAAAGAATGAAGTAGTAATACTATCAAATTTGGTAAATGTCAAAATAATAATAATAAATGTTAAACATATTAACTTTGACAGCCCTAAATATTTGAAAAAAAATCATAAAAATAAATCATGAGTACATGAACATCATTTGCAGGAAAAAAATTCTTATTAACTCATGAAGTATCCTAATGCAATATTTTTACTCTAATAGCTTCCTACACATATATGAACTGTGATCATGCAATAATTAAATCAATAGATTAATAGGGTAGAGGCTAATTTATATCAGCCTCTCCTGAACCATGGATTGATTGCAAAGTTAAACCATCATAGAAACAGTTTTACTGCTGCTGTTACGTTAAAGTTATAATGTTAACGTTACATCGCGATGCTGAGCTCCAGTGAAATGATAGAAAAGACAGATGCATTATCTATGTTTGTCAATTCACCTCATTTGCAACGCAGAACTTCTAAACGTGCGTAAACGTGTCTTTACATTAAATTAACATTGAAATCACTCGCGCCAGAGGTTCAAGAGTGAGTGACTAATCAAAAAACCTTTGCTTTAGTCTCAGTTGAGTCAAACACCGTGTGTATAACTTCGGCCATTCTCAGTGACTGGGACACTAGCTCTGCTTGTCATCATAGAAACAGAAAATCAGATTGTGATGTTTATTCTGAATAGCTATGCTGCCTTCCTTTCTACAAGCAACCGTCTCGCAAGTGTTGATAGGCTATTATCCGTGAGGTGTAACCAATCAGATGGGCGGGACATTGAGCAAGTCTGCAGACTCGTGCAGAGCGGCAGCTATATGAGAGTCAGCCAAAGTAGCGCATTTAAAAATAAAATTAACTTTAATCAAAGCACAGATCCGTGATAAGTTTTCTGATCCGTCTCACCACTAGTGTGGGATCACTGATCACTTTAATGGGGGGGATAAAAATAATTAAGCAGAGGCAGGGATACATTGACCAGAAAGGGGGAAATCCCACGCATCCCCCCCGGCAAATCGCACCCATATATATATACAGTGCCCTCCACAATTATTGGCACCCCTGTTTAAGATGTGGTCGAGGACTTTTAAAAATTCTCCCTTTTTTTTAAACAACATAGAATCCAAATGCAAAAAAAGAGAAAAATCCAACCTTTTATTTAAGTACATTACTTTGGTGGTAAAAAAAAAAATTTAAAATTTAAAAAAATAAAAACTTCAAATCATGTGTCCCACAATTATTGGCACCCCTGATGTTAATACTTTGTACAACCCCCTTTTGCCAACAAGACAGCACTTAATCTCCTCCTATAACATTTCACAAGATTGGAGAACACAGAGAGAGGGATCTTTGACCATTCTTCTTTGCAAAATCTTTCTAGATCATCCAGTATCCTGGGCCCTCTCTTGTGCACTCTCCTCTTTAGCTCACCCCACAGGTTTTCGATTGGATTGAGGTCTGGGGACTGAGATGGCCATGGGAGGACCTTGAGTTTGTGACTGAACCATTTTTGTGTAGATTTTGCCACACGTTTTGGATCATTATCCTGCTGAAAGACCCAATGACGACCCATCCTCAGCTTTCTGGCAGAGGCCATCAGGTTTTTATTTAAAATGTCCTGGTAGTTCAAAGCGTTCATAATGCCATGCACCCTAACAAGGTTCCCAGGGCCTTTGGAAGAGAAACAGGCCCACAGCATCACAGATCCTCCACCATACTTCACGGTGGGCATGAGGTACTTTTCGGCATACACATCTTTTGTTTTACACCAGATCCACTTAGAGTGTTTGTTGCCAAAAAGCTCAATCTTAGTCTCATCCGACCAAAGCACACGATCCCAGATGAAGTCCCAGTGCCGCTTGGCAAACTCCAGACGTTTACGTTTGTCAGTGTTAGTGAGAAAAGGCTTTTTCCTAGCATGCCTCCCAAACATCTTGTTGGCATGTAGAGAGCGTCTGATGGTTGTTTTGGAGATTTTGTGACCCCAAGATGCCACTATTTGATGCAATTCTGTGACAGTGAGCTTAGGACTTTTTTTTTACTTTTCTTAGCATCCTCCTCACAGTGCGTTGTGGCAAGATAAACTTGGGACCTCTTTCAGCCTTGTTTGTCACTGTTCCTGTTGTTTTAAACTTCTTAATGATTCCTCTAACTTTAGATATGGGCAATATAAGGTGAGTGGCTATTTTCTTGTAGCCATTGCCTGACTTATAAAGGTCATCACACATCTGCCTTACTTGAATGGCGTGTTCTCTTGTCTTTGCCATGTTGACAAATGGGTAAGAGAATTAGGCCTCTGTGTCATGTCATATTTATACCCCAGGGAAATAGGAAGTCATGAATTACTAATTAAAAGTTCCTAGATATCCTGACCAACATTAGCAACTACAGAAAATATATATTTTTTTAAAAATCAATTACATTTTTCAGCGGAATTGTTAGGGGTGCCAATAATTGTGGGACACAGGATTTGAAGTTTTTATTTTTCTAAATTTTTACATTTTTTTTTACCACCAAAGTAATGTACTTGAATAAAAGGTTGGATTTTTCTCTTTTTTTGCATTTGGGTTCTATGTTGTTTAAAAAAAAGGGAGAATTTTTAAAAGTCCTCAACCACATCTTAAACAGGGGTGCCAATAATTGTGGAGGGCACTGTATATATATATATATATATATATATATAAATAAAAACTGAACCCCCCTAGTTTGACCCCAGTTTAAAAGCCCCTGATTTTGCCGACAAGGCAAATAAAATAAAATTAGTTCTAAAAGGACTGTCCTTGCAATAAATGGGCAGCAAGTTACTTTGGATAAAAAGCATCCACTATGAGACAAATAACCCATCATCACTCATTTTATAAAGCCCAAGCTCACCTTGCTGGTCAGCGTTTTTGTCAGCTGAGAGGCCATTGCTGTTCTGCCGGTCTGAGCTGTGTTTGTAGGGGCCCGGTGGAACCCTCCACTCCAGAGCCTGCAGTCTGTCCTGCGCCGCGGCATCATGCAGTATCTCCATCTGCTTGGCCAACAGACGCTCCAGCTGAACCTATAATATGCACAGACAGCAGGGAGTCAGACAGGCGGATGTGTACAGCATCGTACGTACAGTGTGTGACACAAATGATTTCCAATATTCATCATTCACAAACAAACCGCAACCGTAGTGATACAAAACAAAACTAACCATAAACAAACTACAGTCCAAATACCCAATGATAATTTGAACGAATGCTCCTCAATCATATTTGCATTGCACATGAAACGGGGTTTAACTTCTATAAATATTTCGTTGGGTTTATATTAATGTTTCAGCTCTCTGATTATTATTATTAAAAGCTGGATTGGTTCCAATAGCACCCCTCCTACATGCTACCTAAAAGAGGCAAGCAAAACAGACTTTTACAGCTTGTTTTTCTTTTACACAGGAAGATGCTATTCAGAGTTACAAATGACACGTTTCCACTTCAAAACAATGCATTGTGTCAATCTATCTATTGAAAAACAGAGCAATTAAAGAGAAACGATGGCATAAATTATGTTATTAATGCTCAGAGGTTGCTCTTATAGCTCAAAAGATATTAGAGCGATGTATCAACTTTGACCCAGATGCAATGTGACAATTGTAGACAACAGGAAAAATATGTGAAAGCGAACAATTCTAGCTAGTGTAAGCATTGTTGTATGCAGTGTTGGGTGCAACTAATTACTAAGTGATTAATTACTGTAATTTAATTACTTTTCCCTTGAAAATGTAAAGTAAGGGATTACTCTTCATTTATCTGTAATTTAATTACAGTTACTTCTGATGTAATTGAGGTAAATACTGTGTAAAGATCAATCGGATCTCACAGCGATTCGTATGATTTTATGAGGTGTCTAAATTGTACGACCGCACTTTTGTAAAATATGTATGAAAAAAGTGTGAAATGTCATGAGATCAGACATAAAACAATAGTGGGTTTAACATCAAAATGTATTGTCTGATGTTAAAAAGTATGTTTTTATAATGTACCCTTCTCCACCTTGGTCAGTTTAAGGATAATTCATGCAATTTTATAGTATTTATTTGAAAGAATTAAAACAGATTCATGTCTATCCTTGTATTATCCAGCTGGTTGAGATTGATATGGGATTTTGAAAGTAATTAGTAATTAAATACTTTTTAAAGAGAGTAATTAGGACAGTAATCTAATTACACTGTTGAAGAGGTAATTAGTAACTAGTAATTAATTACTTTTTTAGAGTAACTTACCCAACACTGGTTGTATGCAAAAGTGAGTAAAAATGCAAAAATAATGCATTAGTAATAATGCTAAAGTATATGCAGTGCATTCCTAGCATTAAAACTAGGGGTGCTATAGTAACTCTCTGCTTTTACAATCATTATTCTGTCTAAGGTCAAGTACTGTCATGGTACAGCAAAAGTTTGAAGTCATAAATATCTTTGCACACTGAAATAAAATGTTTTGGCCTTATAGAGCTATAGACAGGTAAGCTCACATGATTTTATCTTCCAATAATATTGGACATTAGATAGATAGATAGATAGATAGATAGATAGATAGATAGATAGATAGATAGATAGATAGATAGATAGATAGATAGATAGATAGATATTTTATCACAACAGAAATACGGAGGTTACAAATTTGCTTATAATATAATTTTCTTTCTTATATAGAATAACAATCAGAAAAAAGCACTGAGTGTAACAGTACTTGCTAATAGAAGTCTTTTTCATCAGTTAGAACAGTCCATTCACTTCCTTTAAAATATCCAACCAATGATAGTTCATATATTAGACCAGTTGACCATAAGTAGGTCATGGTCAGGAAGACGAGGGAAGCTCTTGCAGCTTTTGACCCGAAAACCTGCATGATAGGATCCCAGAGCGAGAAGTGTGGTGGTAGACAGACATGAAGACGGAGTCAGTGAGGCGCCTGAGAGCATTCCTCTCCCACACAAAAATAAATACACTGTCATAATGCAGTCAGTCACCTGGATATTCCGCCCAACCGTCTCCTCTCCTTTAGATCTGGCGTGGGCTAGCTGCTCCTTAAGGGTCTCCTGGCGCATGTGAATAGCCTGCAGCGCCTCCTGGAGGTCAAAACAGCCCTCCTGCAGATCAATACACATTTGATTGATATTTCCTTTTGATCAAAGTTTCAAAGTCAGTCAACTTAAAAAAGAAGCGCATAATTTCTGCAAAATAATGATTTTTAAACCGGTTTTGCATTCCATCCGGGCCCTGTTTTTGGTAAACCAACAATCCTGCCAAAACATATGCTATTGGATGAGCCTAATGTGTCTTAAAGGGATAGTTCACCTAAAAATGAAAATTGTGTCATTAAAGGAGTAGTTCACTTTTAAAAAAAACTTTTGCTGATAATTTACTCACCCCAATGTCATCCAAGATGTCCATGTCATTCTTTCTTCTGTCGAAAATAAATTAAGGTTTTTGATGAAAACATTCCAGCATTTTTTTTCCATATAATGGACTTACAAGGTCCAAAAGTTTCAGTGCAAACTGCAAACTGTTCAAAGGGCTTTAAACGAACTCGTTCATCAAAATGAACAAATCTTTTTCCGAGTCAATTCATTCATTTCGTTCGTTGAATGAACCAAATGACATGAAAAAAGATTCGTTCATTTCGTTCGTTTAATGAACCAAATGACACGAAAAAAGATTCGTTCATTTTGATAAACGAGTTCGAACAGGAGAGTCACGAACGCTCATCACAGAACAGAGCAAGACGAGGATTTGAGCTTATAAAACTTTTTTTTTTAATGAGCGATCATTTCACTTGATAAGACCCTTATTCATTGTCTGGAATCGTTTAAAGCGCTTTGAACAGTTTGCAGTTTGCACTGAAACTGTCTTTTGGACCTTGAACCGTTTGGTTACCAGTAAAGTGCATTATATGGAGAAAAATCCTGGAATGTTTTCATCAAAAACCTAAATTTCTAAGTAAATTATCAGCAAAAGTTTTTTTTTTTAAAGTGAACTCCTTTAATTACTCACCCATATGTCATTCCAACCCCGTAAGACTTTCGTTCATCTTCAGAACACAAATGAAGATATTTTTGATGAAATCCGAGAGCTTTCTGTACTCGCCATTGACAGCTACGCAACTACCACTTTGAGGCTTCGTAAAACTAATCCATATGAATTGAGCGGTTTAGTCCAAGTTTTCTGAAGAGACATGATCGCTTTATTTGATGAACAGAATTTTGATCAGGGAACAAACAGGAGCTCAATCGAATCTGCTTGACACGCAAGAACAAATCTCCTTGGTTCTTGAAGTTCAAACGTGCTGCACAACACGAGAATTAACCTAATTGGTTCTCTGTGAGTTGATCGACGTTTTACATGTGAATAAAAGACCACTCAATTCATGTGGATAATTTTTACGATCCTTTCAAGAACATTTTGAAGCGTCAAAAGTGGTAGTTTTGTAGCGGTCAGTGGACTCGAATCTTTTTCCGAGTCAATTCGTTCATTTCATTCGTTGAATGAACCAAACGACACAAAAAAGATTTGACACGAAAAAAGATTTGTTCATTTTCATAAACGAGTTCGAACAGGAGAGTCGCATCACAAAACAGAGCAAGGCGACCATTTGAGCTTATAAAACTTAAACTTTGTTATTTTTTTTTTTAAATGAGCGATCGTTTCGCTTGATAAGACCCTTTATCGTCTGGAATTGTTTAAAGCCCTTTGAACAGTTTGCAGTTTGCACTGAAACTGTCTTTTGGACCTTGAACCGTTTGGTTCCCATTGAAGTCCATTATATGGAGAAAAATCCTGGATTGTTTATCAAAAACCTTAATTTCTTTTCGACTGAAGAAAGAAAGACATGGACATCTTGAATGACATGGGGGTGAGTAAATTATCAGCAAAAGTTTTTTTAAAAGTAAACTACTCCTTTAATATGTCTCATAAACAGAATACCTTTATGATAGTGCCACAAAGACTTTAAGAATCAACTTAATTACTAGTTGTGTCTACATGATAACTGATCAGATGAAGTATTTAAACACCAAAAAAATTGACACATCAACTTTAAAGACAATGTGTCATAGCTGAATTTGACCAGCCCCAGTAAGTCCACAAACTATAAGGCCAATGGTCAAGACCATTTATAGCAATATGAATCAACCTCATAATGGAGGTCAACAAGGTTAGTGTGACATTTGAAAAATACCTGAACAATTCGAGGACAAGATGTTAATCTCAACCACTTCACAGAGCACAGCTCCTAATTTTTCACTTACCCGAAGTGAACAAATAGATTCATTCCTTCTGAAGCGAAAAGGTCAAATACTTAATAAAATGTCATACCACTTAAAAATCCCCTCAGGATGAGTTTCAACCCAACAGGCGGATGAAAAAAAACAACAAAAAACAGAACATTTTGTCCACCGGAAGCTCTAAAAATTATTACACAAAGGATGAGCTGGAAACTTCAAATGTTTACATGGGTTCCCATGGCTGCAAACTACCACAGACATTCCAGTCCTTTCACTACTAGTTGGGTGTTTGAGGCAAAGAGGTATCTGATAATAACAGGTCTGACGCAAATTTGCCAACACTCACGCAGCAATAATGAACTCATTGAGCCACTCCTGTGAGTTAAGGCTTTTCTCTTTCTTGACACGGGGGCTGGTCTTCTAGAGCGGACAGACAAAGGTGCACGCATACGCCTGCATGTATACGCATGTGTCTTCAGACTCAGCCCCTTTTCACTTTGTGGTATCTGCGCAAACGCATGGGCGTGGGTGATTCCGAGTGCACCCACATAATGATGTCACATCTACCTCAAGAATACGGGTGGGTGCACAACTGATCTCATTTGGACCTTGTCTGGGTGCATGTGGGCGGGCAGCTTATTCTCACTGGTGTGGATGGGAGTGTAATGTGGGCAGAGTTGAGGCCAGACAAGGACAGCGAGAGGGGGAGGGGAAGTTCATGTTTTTTATTTTTGCAGTTCAGACACAACACTATTAACTGTAAAACACTATCAAATGGTTAAACGTGGAAAATCCATTCTAGAGTTAAACAATGCAAAACCAACAAAGTAATTTACTGTAAGAAGACACTACTAACTTCACTTCAATTGGAGTGGCTTGACCAAACGGTATGAAAAACGTGACTCTCTCTTAAATGTTAAAAAACCGATACATTCGAGCATGTGTTCTAGAGATCACGTTGCGTTTGTGGGCGGTATGTGTGACCAATCTGCAGCTCTAAAAAAATCCAATAATTATTTCATAAAGGTCAATAATACGGTTATCAGAAATGTACTAATGAGTATTAATTTCCATGGATCAAAACCTAAACTCCAAAGTGTGGCAATAGCCTGCTTAAATCTGGATTCGCTGAAGAGAAAGTGCAGTTTGGGTGCCTGTCATTGCTTGTTGAACTTGCAGACGTCTTTTTTTCCAAACAATGGGCGAGTAATTCACTCTGGCTTTGCATAAAAGTCTACAGTAAAGCACTTTTCTGTTAATGAATATGTTTACAGTACATTCTCAACGTGATTAGTGAGGAGTTCAGTGTAATGCGCATGCTGTGCACACTAATAAATACAACCACCACTTGCTAAAACAAAAATTAAGTAGCTTCCCCAATGCTGCTGTTCATTCACATCACTAGTGTGGGAACGTGACGTAAATGTGAGGTAAAATGTGATTATTAGGTGAGTAACAATGCAAATTAGGGGGGAAAGGAAGTCGCTTGGTAATTTGCCACTGTCTGATACTGATACAGGACTCATTTCTCCTTAGAGGTGGAGTGGGTAGAAACCACTGATTTTCCGAAGTGGTCACATGTCTTTGCCCGTATGAGGAGTGAAACCAGAGCAGAGGTGAAGTGGGCAAAACACCTGCTCTTCTTGAGACACCAGCCCAGCCCATAAGCATTAATGTGGGATGTTAGAAGTTTCCAGAAGATCTAACGACTGGACAACGATCAAATGTGTCACCAGAGAGCCATGAGTGGACAGCTGCCATAGAGCACAAAGGCCTCTTCAGCAGACCACATCAATAAGATCACTATATACTGTATGTGCAGCTAAGTATAGGCCAGACTGATCATGGATGTGCAGATTATGGAAAAATAATGACCGTGGGATGGCTAATATAGACTTAAGGTGTGATCGAGGGAGTGGGTTTGACTTTGCACACATTAGTCCTTTGTAACTTCTTCAGGCTGAACTTTGACCTTTCCCCTACATCATGACATGCAATCCTGATGGAGCTACCCCGCATGCTCCTGCAAAGCCCTCCCACACAGTTCAGTATGCTGACAGGCAGCTATGCAAACAAAAAGCCACTGGACCCACCCAGTGTCAATCCTGCCTCCTACAACAGTTTCCTCGCATATTGGTGTTAGCCCAGCAGCAGTGCACGTTAATAACAAAATGACATGAGAAATTGCTTTGGAAGCTTCAGACAGGTTACTTGAAGAAATCATGAAGCAATTTTACTCACCTCAGTTTTAATTCTCTTGGGCGAGGGCTCATCTCTGTCGCCGCATCGAGATCTGTAGGAAAGAAAATGAAATGCTTAGCCCTGAACAAGCAATGAAACACTTTCACAACAGTGTGTCCTATATATTCTATGTGTCCTGATATTAAACAGAGCAAATATGAAAGCCAAAAATAAATAAAGAATTCCCCAAAATAAAAGCTTACACTCCCCAAACCGTTCAATAGTTTGTAAGCTTTTATTTTTGGAGAATTCTTTTTTAAAGTGACAATGAAGATATTTCAAACAAATACTGTTCTTTTGAACAATCTATACATCAAAAATAAAATCCAAATAATCAAAATGATTTTAAACAGCATAGCTGTTTTCAACATTGTTTCTTGAGCTCCAGATCAGCATATTGTCTCTAGGAGGACATTATATGAAGTTATTACAGCTAATTTTCCCCAAACTATGGGATATTTATTGTTAATTTATAGAAGAAATGCCTTATATTCAACCTTAACAAACCCTTGACCCACCTGGTACCCTTTCAACATCAACTAGCATTATTATATTATACAATCCTTCTCAGGTCATTAAAATGAAATAGAGTTTCTCTTTGTTCCTATGTTTTATTTATCTTCCGCATAGACCCCCTGAAGTAGTTTCATGGTTTAAAACCCTGGCCTTAAAGTACTAATACCTGCTTTACTGATAGTGGTTTTCACCTGCAACCTAATTTAGGAGTGCTCTTGGCAAATATCATTATGACGTAAGCAGCATTGTAAGAATACTTGGCCTAGATAACTTTCGCAATATCCAATCCACGTCTATGATGCAATCTTTCAAGTTTTGAATAAATGACTGCAATTACGCAATCCCAGAAGGAATTTTCCATCCACTGACACGCAAGCCTGGAAATCCAGAAAACACCTTTGGATGGCAGGGTTTGAGTGTCTGATAAGGCTTGTGGTCCTTTAGATGCAAAGGAGTGGGAGTGTTCTTATTTCTCCGTAGACCTCAGTGCGGGACTTTACACCTCAACACAAAAGCCATGCACAAAGCCGACTTTGATATCTTGGCTTGGCTCTAAGCAGACTACCAGAGAGCAGATCCTGAGCTGCTCACAATGCATTAACATTAGCTATCTCTCTCTCTCTCTCTTGGCTTAAAGGCTAAACATCATGAATGATTACTCCAGTCACTTGCGGGGTGTAAAAAGTGATGCATGGAGATCATTTTTTACCATTAAAGCAAACAAACAACTCCCCTAAATTCAGCTTTTTCCATGCAAACCAGGCGGATTCTGCAGGACTTATGAGCATTTTGGATTGTTTAGAATCTTTTGTGATTTAAATATGGTCAGGCAAACATGTAGTATCAAAGTTGTGCTGTTGGTTAGGCAAGCTTCTTTTACAGAGAAGGTCGGATAAGCAGGTTCCAAACTTGTGATGTTGATTACCTGAACTACTTAAACAGAGCATAACATTTTTTAAGGAAATTAAAGGAACACGCCAACTTTTTTGGACTTTAGCTTATTCACCATATCCCCCAGAGTTAGATAAGTCCATACGCAACTTTTTCATCTCTTTGCGTGCTGTAACTCTGTTTGACGCACCCATGACTAGCCTAGCTTAGCACAAAGACTGGATGTAAATAGCTACAGCTAGCATACTAATCCTAATAAGTGACAAAATAACGTCAAATAACTATTTACATGTTGTGATTTGTATAGTCACAGAGTGTACAAATAACAAGGTCATATGAGACAGATATCTTTTAACCGTATAAATATTGGGAACTATATTTTCAGAAGGCGAAGCACTGCTATGGTGCGTCTCAGGTGCTGCGGTTATCACTCCGCCCGAGAAGCAGTGCTGCCTTCTGAGAATACAGTTCCCAATATTTAAATGGTTAAAAGATGGCTATGTCTCATATGACCTTGTTATTTGTACACTCTGTGACTATACAAATCACAACATGTAAATAGGAAAAATTTTGTGTTATTTTGTCTCTTATTGGGATTATGCTAGCTGTAGCCATTTACATCCAGTATTTGTGCTAAGCTAGGCTAGCGGTAGGTGCCTCAGATAGAGTTACAGCACGCACGGAGATGAAAAAGGCATGTATGGACTTTTCTAACTCTGGGGGATACAGTGAATAAGGTAAAATCCAAAAAAGTTGGAGTGTTCCTTTAACACACAATGGCTTACTTGCATTGGTCTGTACATAATAAGCTGGGATAGGAGAAACTATTTAAAAACTGGAAAAAATTGCGCACTTCAGTTTTAACCAAAGTTAACAGTCGACCAAGGTGTTTCATGTTTGGGAAACAACTTCGTTCTTACTTGCTAGTTCTGTAGGTGTATTTGTAGGTGACCTCTCGTGAGACCTGACGTGCCAGTCCGAAAAGCTCATCTCTGCGAGTCAGCAATGCCACCTCTTTCATACAAAGCTGCGCCGCAGCCTCATTCACTGTCAGCTATGTAGAAATGAAAGATATTTAGATAATAAATAATATTACAATGCAGAAAGAATTAAACCAGTCCCACAAGTAAGCAACAGACCAACATGATATTTCTGTTGCAGCTAATTAATTAAGGAAACACAAGCAGCATCCCAAAAACTGGTGCCCAGCTATGCTGAAGTAATACACAACATCATTTCTCACTAAAAGTACAGCCATGCTTTGAAATGCATGATTTATTTAAACCCCAAAAGAACCGAAATAGGCGAGAGCCCCGTATAACGCACCTCATGCAGAGTCAGATGCTTCCCATCCTTCCTTTTTGAGTCGAATCTGCCATATATAGCGCTATACTTGCGGATTTCCTCTTCCCTGTGCGGATCCTCGTCGCTCATGTCGAAGATGTGGCTGATCATTTTGGCAAGCTTCTTATTTCCCTTCAACTGTTCTTTAACCTCTACGGCGTCACTCTTCTGCAAAGTCTGAGAGATTCTTTCCACGCACTCCGCCACGGACTGGACGGCAGCCGCGTCGAGCGCCTCTAGGCCATCCCGAGGGGACGACGGAGAGCCCAGTTCTGCAGGGGAAAGGCTGTGCTCGCTCTCAGTGCCATGACTGGCCCAAAAACGTGGCTCGCTGCCACTCTGGAGGGGTGAAACGGTGGCCGAAGAGTTCCCGTTGCCCGATTCTCCTTTTCCCGGATCTACACAAGCAGCCGCCAAACACTTGGGCACTTTGACTTGGGTGTCTCCACGGGCACCGTTACCAGGCAACAATGTGGGTGACCCTTCGGGCAGCTTGTAGACAGGAATGCTGCAGACGGGCAGGGACGTGAGGGGCTGATTGAACAGGGCAGGGTTTGTGACCCAATCACGCAGAGACTTCTGGAGGCGTCTGACGTGCAGCGGCTTGCTTGCCATGCCCACAAGTGCCATGATCTCGAGAAACTCGTCCTCGCCGGCCTCGCAGAGCTGCTGGACGTCGTCGCCACCTTGCTGGATGAAGGCATCGTAGTAGCACAGCAGGTTGGCCCTCTGAAGAATGCGGTAGAGCTGCAACTCCCCAAGGGTTCTGGGTAAAGTCGCCGCCATACCTGAACAAAGGAAGGAACAAAATAAGCAATTACAGGAAACAAAGCAAAACCGCTAGGAGGAGAGGACACTGGCTGCCACAGCAGGGGGAGGAAGAGATATGTGTGGCTGGATCCAAGAGTGGCGACTATAAGAGAGCGCCTGTCAGGCTCCTGGGCTGCTGGGAGAGCCACATACCACACTCCACCTCTGCAACGCGCGTAGGTGGGCTCACTCAGCACAGGCCTCATTTGTTTCTGCCGGGATCTTGCTTCTACAGCTGCCACTGTCAGGATCTGGATCCGCAGCAGCAACGATAAAAGCGAGATTGGCTGCAAGCAAGGGAGGAGGGGTAATGGAGTCGTGTGGGAGTGGGGCGGTAGGTGTGCGTGCTAAGAAGATAGCTTTCTGCATTTCACTTTAATTCACCCACTTCTTCCTCAAAAGGATCCAGGGATTATGAATGTACGACACACACACGCACACACACAATGCTCTCTGAAAACTTTGTCAGAGACTGTAATGCATACTAATGTGGTAATGGAGTTCATTTGCTTATTTTTCTGTTGAGAGAGAAGATATACGATGTATACGATATGTTTCAGAAACGATATACAAACCATGACAATGGGAAAACTCTGAGATTGCGGGGCAAATTTTGTTGATATCTCATGGGGTCACAATTGAACCAGAATAAACAACATTTACTATTTAATGTTAATATGTATATGGATATCATCAACACCACACACCCACAGAACCTTGTGGAGAACCTCAAGGAAACTGGAACTTCCAAAAGGATTCCATATGTTCCTACAAGAACTCTAGAGACTGTCAACGGTTTCTCGAGTAAGCCCATAACGAGGGAATCGCATTGAGACACCACTTCCATATTATAATGAATTTCCTTGAGTACACAATAGGAATGAGGCATATTCAAAACGATTCTTCTCCAAAGGTTCCTCCAGGGTGGCAGTCTGAAGACTTCCAAATAGGCTCTCACGCCTTTTCACTTTTACAGCAATGAATCATATTTTGTGAATAAGAATTTAGGTTATGGATTTGTGAATCATATTTCTTGTGAATATATTCAATTCTGACCCCTAGAGATATCTCAAGAAACATCAACGAGTTTTTGCAGAAAATCACCAACTACTGCTCATCAGTGGAATGCGTTTTAGAAATTAATCTGTTCTGTGATTGTTCATTTCAAAATTAACTTTCACTGACACACACATCTGCATTTGCATTTTCCCAACTGTAATTTGGGAAGTACAGAGACAAAATCTTTGGAAAGACACTGCTTTTGAAGACACAATAAAACCTGCATACCCATGACCGCAAATATACTTGACCAAAAGTATTTGGTACTTATATACTTTAAAGGGATACTCCACTTTTTGGGAAATAGGCTCATTTTACAACTTCCCCAGAGTTAAACTGTTGAGTTTTACCGTTTTTGAATCCATTCAGCCGATCTCCGGTTCTGGCGGTACCACTTTTAGCATAGCTTAGCATACATCATTGAAGTGCACAAGACCATTAGCATTTCTCAAAAATAAAATTACCAAAGTGTTTCAAAATTTTTCCTATTTAAGACTCTTCTGTAGTTACATCGTGCACTTAGACTGACGGAAAATGTAAAGTTGGATTTTCTAAGCTGACATGGCTAGGAACTATACTCTCATTCCTGCGTAATAATCAGGAAACTTTACTGCCGTACCATCAGTGCAGCAGGCGTAATGTTATGACACAGCGCCTGAAAATAGTCCTTAGTGCACGATGCAACTACAGAAGAGTAAAGTTTTTAATAGGAAAAATATCGAAACACTTTGGTAAAATTTTTTTTGAGAAATGCACTTCAATGATGTATGCTAAGCTATGCTAAAAGTGGTACCGCCAGAACCGGAGATCGGCAAAATGGATTCTAAAACGGTAAAACTCAACAGTTTAACTCTGGGGGAGTTGTAAAATGAGCCTATTTCCAAAAAAAGTGGAGTATCCCTTTAATTTGAACATTTAATGCAAAAAAATCAATAGTAACCGCTTTTAAAGATCAATAACAATGCCGGGCCTCAATTATCATTCTTTCAGTGATGGTAAAAGATGACAGATGCTGCTAAATCATCATGACAGTTAGTGTACTAGAGGTGAGTAAGAACAGTATCACAGCGAGGCTGATTGTGAGTACTGATGAGTGAGTGTATGCAGTCTAATGAGGACGCCCCACCGCACAGCAGAGTGATCCGCCACTCTAATGGATGACTGAGGCCTAGACCCAAGTGAAGGGTGCCTTGTTGAAACCAATTCAGTAGCAGTATGGATGGCACTTAGGCAGCAATTTATCCAAAGCTCCCTCTCCCCGAAGCATGCTGGGTTCCTAATGCTGGAGATCTAAGGCCAGGGCTTCACGCAACACGCTGAGAGCACTCACAGCACATACTCGTGTTGCCCAACAGCAGCCTCTTATCAATCTAAATGAATAATGGATTCACATCGAGACCTGTCCTAAATAGTTGCATGAAGCTCTCGAAAAGAAGCTTCTCTGGAAAGGTGACCAATCCGTCCTGTGCATCAGACTGAATGTTTGTGGAACAGCTGCTCTCCATATGAAAGCTATAAAGGCTTGTTTTAGTGAAAGGAGCATAAGGCATTACTAGAGGAACACAATCGATTCACTTAAGTGAAGGAACAAGAACAGGAAACATTTGTGCGATAATAAATTGGGTACCTTCTAAAGGGATGGTTCACCCAAAAAATTTAATTCTGTTTTATTTACATTAATGTTACTGCAAATCTGGGTGCTTTTGTCCATACAATGAAACTGAATAGTGGGAAGGGGCTGTCAAGCTCCAGAAATGACAAAAACCTACTAAAATTTTGGTCTGCTCCTCACACAAAGCCAAATAGTATATTGGTCAAACTCTTGTCACCATTCACTTGATGGAAAGCAGCAGCAACATTCTGCTACACTTCTCATTTTATGTTCCATGAAAGAGAAAATATCATTCTAAGAGTGAAATGAGCACTTCCATTTTTCAAGTCAGATATTTTGTTAATAAACCAGTTAATTTGTTAATTGGTGTGTAGTTAATAATTACAAATATCAGATGTAAAATAACATGCCATTATACCCTAGTTTAGCTTATGACCTGGATGCTCTTTATTTTTCAAAGCAAAAACACTCATTTAGGTGGCAGTGCCTTTAACCCAAATACGATTCATCAAAGGGTTTTTGAAGATAACGGTGGAAAATATTGGTGAGGAAAGTACAAAAGGAAAATAGGCATGACAAAAGTTCACTTTGCATTTAATATTAGTAACATCCAAGTTGTTTTTTGGGGGGCCCAGTGTGTACAATGAAGTGGTAAACAATGAGTCATAAATTCACAGGACAGAAAACAATTATTCAAAACAAAAATTCCCAATACCTCATTTCAATTATTACTCAAATAATAAACTAAACATGAGCCATCAACTATTACTAATGTTTATGGGAAAAACAATAAACCATTTCTGGCAGAAACAGCATTATTGTATTATTAGGGGCCAAGCATCAAAGGTAGTTTTATTAAAGGCGCTTATTGTATTGATATTATTAATCTGCCATCAATATTGTTAAATTTGAGCTATATAAAACAAGCAGTTTTGAGATGAAGCGATCTTATAACCATTATTAATAATATTGCATCAAAACAGAATCAGAACATTTGGAGTTAAAAGATTGTCATATTTAATTTTGAATTGAATTTTAAATCTGTAATTATTTGGAAAATGAATGATTTGCCATTGTCAACCAAACTGTTTAACAGCCATTTAAAATATTTTTTAATTCTGCCAACACCATTTTTTTCAAATTAATGTCAGATCATCTTCATAACATGCTGGCAAAATAATGTATGTGCATTAACAAATGTGGTGAGTGCCAAATAATAATTAGGCTTTATCTTGGCAACGGTTTGGCATACTGACACAAAATATTATATGTATCATTGGCATAACACCTTGACAATATACCCAATAAATAATGTGACAGTGCTATAGCAATATATAAACAAACATTTATGCTGTCGGTGTGCTTGGCCTTGTAATATCTGCATGCAACTATATCAAGAACTATAATCCTGCATAATATTTTATAAATATAAACTATCAATATCTATAAATACAACTGATTTAAAATAATATAGCATTATATATCCTATACTATAGCTAACTCTTGAAATTTCTCTGAGTGAAAAAAACACATCAGCCAATGAAATTCACACATTTAAAAGCTATTCCACACTGGAAAGCATTGGGAAAACTACCCTTGGAAGTGAAGACTCGCTAAGGATGCTGTACACGCACAGCTGCCTTCGACTAGACGCCCACGGGGGCGCGTTCACACACGGTACCGAGAGCTGTCCGGCGCGCACATGGATCACAAAAACACGCAGGAAAGTTGCACACAATGCATGAATTCAGCGCTCAACTACATTTACAAGCGACATTGAACAATAGCACTGGCATTAACGTACCTTTTAGTTTTTTTTCTTTGTCTTTTTTTCCACCAAAACTCTTCCAAAAGCTCCGTCTGGTTGTATGGTTATTAAAGTTCTCAATGATGACGACGGTCCGTTAAGTTACGCGACGCTTCACCTGACGTCCAGTTACGTGCCGCGCGTTCGGCGGATCAGCGACGCGTCTTTCGGCTCTCTGTTATTGAATTAACTCTCACACACGCTGTAGTTTGAACTACGGAGGGACTCTCAAACTAGTTGGTTTCCGCTCTCTCCCCTACTGCCAGAATTGGGATATTCCGCGCTTGCTACATTGCTCTCTCACTCCCACGCGCCTGCGTGACGCAGATCCTGGCGTGGGCGGTAGCGGCGCGTGGGAGGCTGCTGCATGGAATACCAAACCTCATATCAGCCGCATGCACCGCCTCACATATATATATATATATGGACATTTATCATGTTTGTTGACCTTACTGAAAATACGCCAGCATACAGCATAACGGTTCGGTGGCCGCCTTTACGCCCACACCGGTGCTATTCTTGCCCCCTCCTCCTCCTCCAGTGCAAATTCACCTGCTGCCTACAGCCTGTCACATACTGAGTCCTTGTGCATTCCAGTGGGCCTCGTTTCACATCTTATTAGCTCTACCTGTTCCATTTATAGAGTTCTGCAAACAACAAGATCGCAGGCAATCTCACAAACAACATAATTGCGTTTATAAAATGCACGTTCTAAAGAGGAGTTAATTAGCTTATAGAAGTTTTTTCAATGCTGGATTCTTGGATTGCAATTAAAGGAAACACGCGCGCGCGCACACACTAAACCTGATTTGGATTTCAAGACTTAGATTTTAAGTTTTTTTTTGTGATAAAAATTATCTAAAGATACAGGTAGGCTAACTATCAAAAACAGATTATTGCACACTGAATGTGATAATATAATGTGTTCATTTTAATTATTTGTACTTATTGGATTTTGCTTAGTGTAAGAGAAAGCTTAAGGCATTTCACATTGGGGCATTTATTATCATAATAATCAGAAAATGCAAAAACATAAAGGAACCATTGTTTTGAGTTTGATCTGTCTGATCTTTACAAATGAAACAAACTCAATTTCTCAAACTGATTTGTTCAGAGAATTACTGCCAACGTGGAGGGGCTACATCTGAAATCGCACTCTTCCCTATAGGCTATACAATATACAGTAGTAGGCGAAAAAAAGTTACAAAGTAAGTAACCTATGTCTGAATTCACAGCAGAGTGGACAAAAAGAGGATTCAGAAGTGTGCATATGGACACTTTACTATCCCACGAGGTCACTGGAGAGGATTTATGAATGGCAGTGAATGGATGTAACAAACTGACGCTGATGGGTCGCATGATGACAAAATGGCGATTGTAATTACGTCCAGATTACATTCATACAAGACACACTCAATCGATATAGATAGAACATATTTTTTAGTGGTCGTGAAGTAATTATTTGTTCAAAATAAGTACAGTGTCCAAACCTAAGTATAAACAAATAAACTTTGCAGGACAATGGACCTCCATTATCGAGTTTAGACACCCCTGATCGAAATAGATGCAGAAAAGGTAGACCAATTACAATTCAATATGCAAATAGACAGAGGAAAGTCAAGATTAGTTGCAGTTCAGTATGCAATACGATGATGTTGCAAATCTTGAATCAAAAAAAAAAGATAACTGAAAAGTACATTAAGCAGTTTGTACTTGTTTAATTCTTAAGATGAGGGTTGAGAACAAACCCGAAGCAGAATGTTTAAGCAATATCAATACAGCCATTCTTTCTTTTGAACATGTACAGATGTGTGTGCTTTCTTTGAGTGTGGTCCTTGTGTAGTGAATGCCCACTGGGAACTATACCCTTCTAAGGGGGTTGTGACTGAGAGACTTTCATTGTTAGTGACTCAACCAAAACAAACCTCTCCCCTCAGCACATCTCTCTTATTGCTCCTCTGCGTCCGAAGCGGAGGTTCATTGAGAGAAATGTTTTTGGGGTCTGCTGCAGCAGGAAGAGGAGTGAAAAGCGGCATGATGGGAGGGGCTGTGGTCCTGTATGCAGACACTACTCACTCCTCTTTCAGGATATTTACACTCCCACACAGTGATTCAGCTGGCTCTAATCCTTTCCTCTCTCTCTCTCACACACACACACACTGGATTAGGCTGCATCAGACACCCATGGCCAAAAGACTATGGCTGAGATTCTACTGCATATAAAAAAGCGTGTGTTTAGATATACCGAGGGAGCAAGCTGGCTGACAAATCATTTTGTGAATTTGGAGTATTTATAAATTGGTTGTCTGTGGACAGCTAACATGACATGCAATTTCTCTGTCCTCAAAGCACAAGGTTGTTCATTTGTTTTTTCATATGTCCGTCATTTGACTGGACAGCAAGATTTTTTCCATATACACATATTAATTCAAGTAAAATTATCTTCATTATGAACTGTGAGATATCAAGAAATATCAAAATGATATCTAAAGTAATTTTTTTGTCAGCACAGAGTATAGGAATGACTCACATGTCTTGAAAAAGCTGCTAATCAGGACCCAAGAGGAAGTAAATCTGACTCAGAATAGCATACTACTCTTATTTCTGGCATATAAAATAGTTAGATTATACTATTCTGAATTCAGCAATTTTCAAGCATTAGGTTAGGAAAAGGGTAGTCTCACGTAGTCAAACCTTCACTACTTTACTTTCACCAATAAGTTCCTTAAAGAAAAATTGTTTAATTAGTTCTTCTTCTCAATAGCTTATTGCATCCTCCTGGTACCTTATAAAGCGTGACATTGTTTCCAGACTGCACTCTTAGAAGAAAAGGTTCTATAAAGAACCTTAAAAGGTTCTATCAGCACTACGTATTTGGAACCCCTAAAAGGTTCTTAAGGTTTCAATAATGAGAACCCTTTAGGGTTCTATGTAACCAGGAAAAATGTTCTATATGGAACCTTTTGGGTTCATTCATTATCATTTGTTTTGTCCTTTCAGGATTATTCTCATACTATTGACAAACATCAAGACCCTAAAATGTATTTATGAATGTGAATGATAACAAAATTCAAGATATGGGGGTTTAACTATCATTTTATGTAGTTAATCAATATCACACGAAGAGTGCCATTTCAGTTTTTCTCTTCCAAAGATCAGCATGATTAAAATGTGATATTAAGTTACTACAACAGTTTAATAAACAATAATTTAATTACAACTACAAAATGTTGCAGAATAATGTAATATATGAATGAATAAAGAACTTTTGTGCCAAAATGGTTCTTTCTTGTCATTATTGAAACTTTTTTAGCATAAAAGGTTCTTTGGAGTTGAGTAAAGAACCCTATGCTTCATATATAGAACCCCAATGAACCCTTTTTTCTAAAAGTGTGATAAAAAAAAAACTAATTGATTCTGGAAGTGTTTTTAATAGAGATTTTATCCAAATTTATCACAAGTAACTCATTTGCGTGTCATTTGCAGTGCTTCATGGAAGTGGGCAAAGCGCCAAAGAGTTCTTTTGCTGTAATTTTCTCACCACGTTCCTCTAATTGGTGTTTTTTTTCTTTCTGAATCATAGGTAATAGTTTTTCACCAGAAATTCCACATATTATGCCTTTTTACAGTTGATTTTGTTTTTAGGGTTTACTAGAATAGGTTATGCTTAAATGTTCAAAAGACATTATCTTCTCACATTATCTTTTCACATTGTCGCAGCATCTCTTCCCAGTCTGCCAGTAACGCTCTGTTTATTTCCATGGCTGGTTGCATAAACTGCTTAGACTAGTCTTAAAAGTTAGCCATCTAATTTTTCCCCCTAACTTTTTAAATTCAGTTACATAAAAAGAAAGATCTAGGTCTAATTTGAATTGCAAAAGTTGGACTGATTGCTTCTTGTCTGCTTGTTGGTCAAACTAATTCTTAAGATAGAGTGGCTAATACAACTGGCAAGTGATCTCTATGAACCCCCTCCTTCCAAAAACAATGTGCTCTGATTGGTCGGCTGGACCAGTGTATTGTGATTGGTCAATTTTGATTTTTGGAAGAAACTTGAGACTACATATTTTAGAGAATAACTCCATTTGGAGTGGACTTTGTGCTTTGTAATTTCGCAGACCTTTTTTATACTCAAACAGCAACATTACACACTTAAAAGAGTAGTTCACTTTTAAAAAAAACTTTTGCTGATATGATGAATAAGGGCGAAACGATTGATCATTTAAAAAAAAAAAAAACTTCTGTGATGCGCGTTCATCACTCTCCTGTTCATCAAAATGAACGAATCTTTTTTCGAGTTATTTGGTTCATTCAATGAAAGAAATGAACAAAATGCCTCGAAAAAAAGGAGTTCAAACAGGAGAGTCACGAAAGCGCATCACAGAACAGAGCAAGGCGAGCATTTGTGCTTATAAAACTTAAACTTTGTTATTTATTTTTTAAATGAGCTAACATTTCGCTAGATAAGACCCTTATTCATCGTCTGGTGTTGTTTAAAGCCCTTTGAAGCTGCACTGAAACTGTCGTTTGGTTACCATTGAAGTCCATTATATGGAGAAAATCCTGGAATGTTTTCATCAAAAACCTTAATTTCTTTTTGACTGAAGAAAGAAAGACATGGATGTCTTGGATGACATGGGGGTGAGTAAATTATCAGAATTTTTTTTTTTTTAAAGTGAACTACTCCTTTAAGAAAGTTGAAAATGTAAAAAGCATAATATGTTGAAATAATGCTTCTACAAAAGCAAATACCACTGGTTAACTACATCGTAGCTCATAATAGCATGTCTTTAATGGATCAATCCGCCTAAGAAGAAAATGAGTGGGAATTTTATTGAAAGGAACCAGACTGTTGCTCTCAGACTGTTGCAATCAGATAAGAGCTTACTAGAACAAAAGTCCTGTGGTTTGACGTCTTCACATATGAAATCTGAGATTTTAAAAAGCATTAATGAGCATAAAATACTGTGAAAGCGAAAGTGAAAGCTTTACTTATTGTGAAAGCAGCATATGTGAGTCAAACTGTAAATGTGTTGATTACGTTAAGAACGTAATACCTTGAAATGGGCTTTAAACTGCATTTTTCACATTTTATCAATTAACTATTCATGAATTTGACAATGAATTGAATTGTTGTAATTGCATTTGAATGTATGTATCATAATACTCTACAGAATGTGTTTAATACTTACATGTTGCTGTTAATGATATAAATAGCTAAACAACACTTTCATTGTGCCCACTAGTAAAGGAGGGTGTGAGGAGAGAGAGATGTGA